TTGCGTCGGGTTGTCCAGCTGTTCTGTCCAATACCAAGGGTGGAGACGCCTCTCTCCTCTTCTCAGAAAGCTGCTCTTCGTGCTTGGAACGGGGAAAAGACTCTCTGGGCAGCTGGCCTGGCTTACTGAGAACTTATTTGCATTTGAGAAATGATTGGCTGTCCTGGGCAGTCCGATAACTCAGTTCTCACCTGGCTCGTTCAACTTGGGAGGGAAAAAAACCACCCCTTGTTTTATCTTAATTATTATTATCATTTTAAAAAGCAGAGCTTGGGAAGGGGGCGCCTTCAAATCCTGAGCCTGCAGAATCTGAGAGAGTCTCATCAGAGAATAAGGAACTATCTGTCTAATGATTCCAAGCAGCATTAACTTCTGCCTCACAACTGTGAAACTTATGCAACAGAAACGAAATGGTATTTCCCGCTATTTGCAAAGTACGTGGTAACAGAAACTCTAAAATTGTCCCTATAGAAGAGAATTTCCCCATCATTACCATTGCTTTTTTTTTTCTTGCTGAACTGAGAGCCTTTTTTTTCCCCTCTTTTTTCTCTGTTCTTTTGGTGAATGTTTCCCAGCTATAGCCTATTTTAGGCCCTGCCCTGGAGATAGACAGGGATCTAAGGGCTCCCCACTGAAGATCCTGGAGGGTAGGGATGGAAGTGTTGAGGAAGAAGGGAGGAGAGGTCAGGCTGACACCGGGATAGATAAAGGAAATCTCCCTGAGCTTTTGGTTCCTTAGTCATGTTTGGTTCAGTGAGTTGCTCTGTGCCAGGATTAGCTGGGAGGCAGCCAGCCCTGGACCAAGGGAGTCCCCATTGATCACACCAGCGCTGAGGTCTCTATCTGAGTAATGAGACCTGGGTAGGCAGTGACCTGAGGCAGAGGCTTGGAGGTGCCAACGAACAACTCTGGAGAAGCTGAAAGCATCTCGTTTATTTGTTTGCTTGTTTATTTTATTTTTTAATTAATTAATTAATTTATTTTTGGCTGCGTTGGCTCTTGTTGCTGCGCGCAGGCTTTCTCTAGTTGCAGTGAGTGGGGGCTACTCTTCATTGCGGTGCGCGGGCTTCTCATTGCGGTGGTTTCTCTTGTTGTGGAGCATGGACTCTAGGCGCACGGGCTTCAGCAGTTGTGGCATGCGGGCTCTAGAGTGCAGGCTCATTAGTTGTGGTGCACGGGCTTAGTTGCTCCGTGGCATGTGGGATCTTCCTGGACCAGGGCTCGAACCCATGTCCCCTGCATTGGCAGGCAGATTCTTAACAACTGCGCCACCAGGGAAGTCCCTGTTTGCTTGTTAATTGATTTTTTTGTTTTTGAATGCTGATTTGGTTATTGTTTTTCTCCTCCTGCTCTGGATGGGAAGCACCAGGAGGGCAGGAACCTTACCTGCTGTGGTCACCGCTGTATCCCAGCCTGGCGCATAGTAGGCCTTCAGTAAACATCCATTGAATGAATGACAGAAGGAACTTGGTGTCTTTAATTCATCACTGTCTGCTCCCCCTGCTGGAATGATGTCAGCTCCAGGAGGGCCTGAATGGTGTTAATCTTGTTCATGTCTGCAGTCCCAGAACCTCACCCCATGCCTGGCACATAGTAGGTGCTTGTGGTAGACGCTTCTCTCTTAACAACAGAAGCCCAAGTTGTTCAGGCAGCCATGTCCCAGGAGATGGAGCAGGACTATTCTAAGCTGCTGGTGACAACGCTGCTCTTGGTCAGGGAGTATTTAAAGGTGGCCATGTGACCCAGTCTGCCTGTGAAGTGTAAGGGAGAATCTGCTTGCTGCGGGCTTTGGGGAAAGTTTTCTCCCTCTGATAAGAGACAGGCACAGGAGAGCGCCCCCTTTACCCTCTTCTTTCCTGCTTTGGAGCTATGTTAGCAGGTGATGTGGCCAGTGCAGCAGCCACCTTGTGTCTCTGAGGCCCCAAACTTTGGGAGAAAAGCCACCATGATGAGGAGAGCAGGGTCGCAGGTGCCTTGATCCTTGATGATGTCACCAAGTGTTCAACCAGCCTGAGGAGCCAGCCTCCTCTGGACCTCTTGTTAAATAGATGACGTCCTATGGTTTAACCCATCAGTAGCCCGTTTTTCTCCTCCTTGCAGCCAAATGCATCCCAATGGATTCAGCACTCAGTCCACACGTTGACTAAATAAACGCCTTCACTTCCAGAGCGCTATCTGCTCTAAGCACTTCCCACGTACTAACTCAGGCATCTTCGCAACAACCTCACGACGTTGGTACCGTTACGATTCTCAGTTCACAAATGATGAAAACGAGAGCTTAAGTAATTTATTAAAAGTTGTATTATCTGGGCTTCCCTGGTGGCGCAGCGGTTGGGAGTCCGCCTGCCGATGCAGGGGACACGGGTTCGTGCCCCGGTCCGGGAAGATCCCACATGCCGCGGAGCGGCTGGGCCCGTGAGCCATGGCCGCTGAGCCTGCGCGTCCGGGGCCTGTGCTCCGCAACAGGAGAGGCCACAACAGTGAGAAGCCCGCGTACCACAAAAAAAAAAAAAAAGAAAAAAAAATACGTTGTATTATCTTTCACTAGGGATGGGATGGTGGGGGAGAAATATCCCAGAGGAATCTGAGGGAGTAAAAGAATGTAGAAGAGATGGGGTGGGCCAGAGGTGGGCTCCATGCATGGAAATGTGGAAACATTAGGCTGGTCTTTTTGGCAGGGCGGGTCAATTCTTGGGTGAAGCATGGGATCTGTGTGTGTGTGTGTGTGTGTGTGTGTGTGTGTGTGTGTGTAACTAATATCTCTGAAGTTGAAGCTAATCTTTCTTGGTCACGGCTGGGAAGGGGACTAACAGTTGTTGAAAGCCTAATATGTGCTGGCTATCTGTGTCAGGTACTTTGTATCAGTGGTTCTCAACTGGGGGTGATTCTGTCCCTCGGGATGTTTGGCAATGTCGAGACACTTTTGGTTGTCACATCTGGGGAGAGAGCGCTACTGGTATCTAGTGGGTACAGTATGACTCTAAATGTCCTACAATGCATAGGATGGTCCCTCACAACTAAGAATTATCTGGCCCCAAATGTCAATATTCTGAGGTTGAGAAACACTGCTTTACATACATTTTTCTCTTACAAAGATACCCATTTTACAGAACAGGCAACAGGCTCAGAGAGGTGAAGTGTTTTGACCAAGGTCACCCCAGCCAGTTAGATTTGGAACTGGGAAACAAATGTAAGCCAGTTTCATTCCACAGCCAGGATGCTCCCACTATGCTCTCCCCTTGTGGTAGATAGGATTAATTTAAGGACAAGGCAACTGAGGGTCAGAGAGTTGCTGTGACCAGTTGAAGGTCACAGAGCAGAGTTGCTCCAGAGCCCTCTTCCCGAGAACCTTGGGAGCCAATCACCTTTCAGACACAATTGATTCCACTACCCAAACCTGGCAGGCTCATCTACCTCACACCCTTGACTACCTGTCCAGGGGAACTTCAGTCACCCAAGGCCCAGATCAAATGTCATCTTGTGCAAGATCACAAAGCAACAGAGCTCTGAGAGGGCAGAAGACACCCCACTCTCTCCTTGTGTCCTTATGCACTTGCAGTATTTACCCAGAGGCCATGGGGAGAATAATCCTGGGTGTTCGGAACAGCCTAAAGGGTGATTACCGTCTACAGGGGGATATTACATGAGTCAGCCAATCCACTGCAGAGACACAATCTCTGGCCCTTGAACAGGGGCAGGTTAGGAACTGTGTGGACAGTATGGAGAGTGGGGCTGGGCTAAGAGGGCTGTTCATACATGCAATATTAATTAATAATAAACATGTATAGAGAAATTTCTAGGTGCTGGGCACTGTTCCAAGTACCCCTATGGATTAACACATAACCCTGTAGGGCCCCATTAGCTAGGTACCATGATTATTCCCACTGTAATGATAACACTGAGGCTCTTGAGGTAAGGATACCAGGGCAAGGTCACCCAAGGAAACCAGCAAGTGCGGGAGCTGGGGTTTTAACCTGAACAGGTCCCAGAGGGATCTTCCCTTCACATCTTCTAGTGCGGCAGGTGAAGACACTTGTCTAGCAGTTTGCTGATTATCAAGGTCACACAGAGCAGCCTAGACTAGAAGCCGGGTTTCCAAAGGCCTTATGGGGGCTGGGGGTGTATGGAAGGAGGCACGGGCAGAGCAGCTGCCGCTTGATTAGTGACTGGAGAGCAAATAATTTCCTCTGAGAAAGGTTGGAAAGGGCAGGCTCATCTCATGGGAGGCATAGAAGTTATAAAGAAAGAGAAAAAGATAAGAAGGAAGGAAAGAAAAAGGAAGGGGAAAGAGAAAAGAGGGGGTAAGAGAGAGAACGAGAGAGCCGTGCGTCTTCCTTCCCAAGCTCGTGGCACCGCCCGAGGGCACCCAAAGGCCTGAGTGTCCCAAAGGCAGGGGCTGGGGTCACCGCTTTCTTCCCGGGGCCGGCGGGGGCGCGCGTGGTGGGGAGGGCTTTCTTCTGCGCGGCTCCGCTGCCAGCTTTTCCAACAGGGTGTTGACTCAGCCCGAGCGGCGGCGGCCGGCGACCGGACCTGCGTGTTTGTGCTGCGCGCGGTGGGTGTCGCGTGTGTCGGGGTGGGAGTGGCGTAGCCCGCGGCGGACTGGGGGGCGCCACGCGTCCGGGCGCGGAGTTGGTGCGTTGGCCGCGGCGGGCGCGCTGCTTCGGACTCTCGGGGCTCTGCGGGGCCCCTCGCGGAAGATTTTCGCCCAAGAGCCCCGGGCGCCCAGCTCAGGCCGAGCCGAGCTTCCGACGTACGAGCCCAGCGCCGCGGCGCGTCTCCAAGGGGCCCAGTGCGCGCGCGGAGCGCCTCTGCGGCCCGAGCACGGCGTGGCACTTGGCAGACGCTCCCTTGGCGGCGGGGGAGGCGGCGGCCTGGCCAGCCGTCTGGGAGCCCCGAGGGCCGGCCTCCTCCCGCCCCTCGTCCTGCCTCCGCGCGCTGCCTCCGCCCCCAGCCCGGGCCGCCCGCCCCCAGTCCCGCCTGCTCGCCCGCCGCGCCATGCGCCGGGCCCGCCGCTGAGCCCGGCCCGCCGGCGCGCCCCGTCCGGGATGGAGTGCCTGGACGCCTGAGTCGCCGCTCTGCGCGACCTCCGCGCGGGGGAAGGAGCCGGTGCCGCGCGGCCGCGCTAGGATGGAGGTGCCCGGCGGCAGCGATCCCAGTGGCGACGGGGCTGGGGACGGTGCCCACCCGGACCCCCGGGCACCCGGCGCCGCTGCGCCCATCTCCGGCCAGTGCGCGGCCGCCCGGGAGTCGGAGCGCCAGCTGCGCCTCCGCCTCTGCGTCCTCAACGAGATCTTGGGCACCGAGAGGGACTACGTGGGCACCTTGCGCTTCTTGCAGTCGGTGAGTGTAGCGCGGGGACAGCCTCCGCTCCAGCCGCCAGCCCCGCTGCGGAGCGCAGGGGCCTCCGGCGCGGGGTGGTCCCCACAACCTGTGGCCACGGCCCCCGGGCGGCGCGAGAATCTCCTCAGACGTGGGGAGGGCGGCCTCCTCCAGAGCTGGGCTGTCGCCTCCCTGGCCGGCCCCGACCCGGGGTCTCCCTCACTCTGTTTCTCCCCACGGCACGCTGCCCTTTTGTCTTTTTCTTTCCCCTTCTCCGCCTTTCAAATAGTTTTAAAATTAGTTACATCCGTGAGGCAGGGTCTCTGGGAGCCAGGCGCCGGGAGCTTGGGCTTTCGTTTTTTTTCCCCGGGGATTTCTTCGCCACCTAGTGCATCACAGACTACTCATCTAGGACGGACCCTAGAAATCCTAGAGCCCAGAGTCCCTAAGCGCCCAGTAGAGTAGGATAAAACCCAAAGCCCGGAGTAGGGACAGAAGTCGACAAAACCCCGGGGTAGGACCCCTCTTTCCCACGCACACGCTTTTGCTGGAGCTTGGGGACAGTGGGTTTCGAACTCACGACTCCGAGGTTCAGTCCCATCCTCCCCATCCCCTACTCCAAGTTGCAAAACCACAGCGTCAGATGCTGTAAAATAACTGAGCACTTATTATGTGCCAGGCGCTTACATTTGTCATGAGAAGGTTGAACCTTCACAAGTGGCCCATGAAGTAGGGACGAATATTTCCCTCACTTTTTAGATGGGAGAGTTTAGCTCCAGAGAGGTTGAGTAACTTGCCCAGAATCAAACAACTGGTTACTTGGGGATACCGGATTTTGAACCAGGGCAGCCTGAGCTAGTGCTCCAAACCCCTATTCTCGGCTGCATTTTTTTTTTCTTCTTCTTCTTCTTCTTCTTCTTTTTTTTTTTCTCTGTGAGAGGGAGGAAGGGGCCACTTCCCTACTCTCCTAGGAAGTGAGAAAAGTGGCTAGGGGGTGGGAGTGGGGTGAGCCTTGCTGGAAATTAGGAGTCTCCGAGGGCTTTAATCTCCAAACCTCCTACTGGGACCTCATTTACTCCCTTCTCTGCTCTAGGAAGTCTTTTAATCCTGGTTCAGGAAGGGCTGGTTGGGGGTGGGGTGGGGCGGGGGCGGTTGGTGTTTCCTTCAGAAACCCCAGAGCCAGGCTCTACAGCTCCCAGTCTCCGGGGAAAGAGGGAGACTCTGGCATCCTCTGGGGTCCCCCGTGGCTTGGGGGTGCAGCTGAGGCTGTGTGAGGTCCGAGTTTTAACTCAAGGAGGACAGAGCTCTTCTCTCTGTGAAAAGAGGTGTGTGTGTTGAGGGGTGGATGGGCGGGGAGGAGAGTTGTGCAGAGGCATTGAAAACCATTTGGCTGAAGGACCCTTCTAGAAAGGGCTGTGAGAATGAGGCAGGGTTGGCCTTTCTTTCCCATCCCTCCCTCTCTCACAGTTAAAAAGAAAAGAAAAGAAAAGAAAAGAATCTGCTCAGTTTGAATTAAAGATGTAGACAGCCCTGGTATCTCTGAGCAACGTCAGATTCTAGGGAACTCCTCATTTCTCCTTCTAGCCACTCCCTGCTTCTCAGTCTGGAAGGGAAAGAGGAAAGACAAGCCGATTTTTATATTAATAGGAAAGAAAATATACGTCTTCCTCCCACGTCCTTGCTCTGGATGGTGTGGTGCCTTTCAGAACAGATAGAGATGGCATTTGGGTTCACTGTGGTTTTAAATTGTCCATGTGTAGAGTCTGAGGAAGCTGGAATGATGGAAATTGATTGGAATCAACCATCCTTATTAAAGAAACAGAAAAAAAAAGATTTGTCTACTTCCATAGTATCTCCTTGACACTTTGAATTTGCTGAGGTCATCAGTTTTTTGTTTGTTTTTTTTTTGTATTGACCTGTCAGTTTTGAGATGAGCTGGTTCCGACTTGGACGTCTTGGATCAGTCGTGCACATGTCCTGGCCTCAGTTTCCCCACTTGTCAAATGAGGGAAGGGGAATCCAGGCTTTCTTTCTGCCATGTCCTTTTGGGTGTCCCCAAGCTGGTGCCAGAAAGAGACTGGTTGTGTAACCCGACTAGCGGTACCTCGTTTGTGAGCTGTAGGAGACCTCTCTTGTTTGGCTCCATCAGAAACGGTCCCTAAACGACCCAAGATCTTTCAATTTTGAAAACCCAGGGCTTAGAGCTTCACGAACTGCTAATTACCAAGGTTTTCCATGGCAGCGAGGCTGGCAACTTGCAGGTTGTGATTCTCTCCTGTCTTCCCACTCTCTCCTCCCAGCCTTTATACTTACTGAGGGCTTGTTCCCGCTCGGAAGAATGCTGGGTAATCCCTCCCTGCTTTTAATTCCATGTGGCAGAGGCAGGTCTCGAAGGGTTGCCTTGGCCTCCTTGTGTCCCTTGTTTTAAGGTCCTGTCGCCAGTAGAAATGAAGTCTTTGGGGGTAGACTGAGCATTGTGCGAAATGCAGAAAAGCCAGTTCTAAGTTCCTGCCCTCGAGGAGGGCCAGGTTCTAGTCAAGGGTGGCGAAATGGGTGTTTACAGAAATCCAAGTATGAGGCTGGGCTCGAGCCAGACTGCTTGGGGTCGGGTCCTTGGGCTGTGTGACCTTAGGCAAGTGGCTTGACCTTTCTGAACCTCACTTTCCTCATCTGTGAAATGGAGAATGATAATAGATCTTATAGGGTTTTTAAGAGGATAAGTGAGTTATATAAATATATATAAAGCACTTAGAACAGTGCCTAGCAGGTAGTAAGGCACTTCTAAATATTAGTTATTATCATTAATTGTTATATGATAATTAAATATTACAGGTGATTATTATTAAACATTAAAGATGATTAAGATGATAGGATTCTAGCATCTAGCAAGCAGGAGTAGTCAGGGAGGGCTGCTTGGAGGAAGTGAGATGTGAGTCAGCACTGAAAGGAGGACAGGAACTCTGAGTGAATTTCCTTTTGACCATCTACACTCCGGAACCAGTGGTTTTGTTTGGTTCCGGGCCTGGGGCTCTCTGGTTCCTCTAGAATCTCCCCATCATTGCCCACCTCCTTCAGGAACTGGGTTGCACCTCCTCCCCTGTCTCCGATGGGGACTGATGACTTTGGTGCCGTATTTTGTGTGTTTATTGAAGAGTCATGGAAAGGCAAAGACAGCCCTCTTGTATGGATGCTGGATCTCTCTTGGGGGACCCCATAGAGATTGTGGGAGAAAATGCCCCGGGTTTTGGCTGAAACTTGGATCTCAACATCTAGAAGCCCCGGCTGTGTTGGGTGCACCGTGTGTCCTCTTGGGCAGTGTTAATAATGATAGTAACAATGACAGTCATTACTGTGTAGGAGCTGACACTGATTCATCATTTACCGTTCTATCAATTCATTTGGTCTTTCCAACACCCCTATGAAGGAAGTGCTGTCCTTATCCCCATTGGCAGATGAGGAACCTGAGGCACAGGTAGTTTAAGTGAGCTGCCCTGGGTCATGTAGACAGCTGCCCACCCCAGAACTCATGTTCCTAGCCACTTCGCAGACTACCTCTGGCTTATAAAGGGCTTGACACCTGCCTTATTGGGGTGGCAAAACTGGGATTCGAATCCAGGTCTCTGTGACAATTACCCTCTGCCTATGCTTCCTCTGGTTACTTCCCCTCTGTGACTCCTGTTCTCTCTTCCGCACAATGGGCAGAACTTAGAAGAATGGAAACGTCAGGCTGCTGGGTTCCTCCTTTGCACTCTGTGTCTGTTCATGGCGTGAGGGTTGAATGTGGGGCTCTGGAGCCAGGCTGCTGGTGTTCAAATCCTGGCTTTACTCCACACCGCCTGTAGGTGGCCCTGGGCAGGTCACCAGCCTACTCTGTGCCTCAGTTTCCCCATCTGTACAATGGGCATAGTACAGCACCTGCTGTATCATAGGGGTGTTGTTGAATCCTCAGTGAACCTGAGGTTAACGCTCTTAGTTAGCACTGTACCAGGCACAAGTAGGTGCCCAGAATGCGCTGGTTGCTTTTGGGGGGGCAGCAACAGGGGGCAGTTGAGGTTATCTCTTTGGGGCTCAAAGTCTTCCCCCTTAAAGAGAGGCCGGGTGAGCCTTGAACCCACTTGCCTCTTGGTTGGATTGGTTTGGGGTCTCTGCCTGCAAGCGGGGTGGGGGGTCTGTCGTCAGGGGTAGGTGCCAGTGGGTCCCCTGATGGGTGTGCCATCCAGCCTGGGCGGATGAGCTGAGAGACTCCTGCGTGGGGAGTGACTGGTCAGCAGGCCCCCCGAAGGGCTCCTCTTGGCTGAGGACAGAGACCTGTCACTCTCAGGCACCCAGAGGGTCTGCCTGAGCTGGCTGGGCCAGGGTCCCTGAGGATCAGGGGGTGTGGGCAGAAAGCTCCCAGAATATCTTCTGTGGTTCTGCTTTTTGGGGTTAGGAGACGAAAGCTTTTCTTTTCATTGGAGCTCTGCTTGCCAAAACAAGAAACTGTGTGGTTTTGTGTTGTCACTATTTTTTTTTTTTTTTTTTTAAGATTTTTGTAGTCCTAGTCTGACACTAGGGAGCAGTGCTGGGGAGTGGGGATGGGGGGGTACATTTTAAATTCCGCGGTCACTGAAACAGAATGACCTAACCAGTGATGTGGGGGTTTTTTCACAAGCTTGTGTTGTGCAAAGTAGGATGCTAAGAAGTTCTGCCTTGGGAAAAGCACTAACCATAATATGATGTACGTTGTATGTATAACATTACAGGAGCTTGGAGAGAAAGATGAAAAGACCTGTATCTTGTGAAGAAAGGCAAGCAGAAAGATGAAAAAGGAAAAAATGTTCCAAGAAAGGCTGTTTGTAATGCCCTTTCCACGTAAAATTATGCTTATGTATGAGAATATATTTTTTACAAATCGCTGATGGAAGTAATTGCATTTCCAGCATGATTATTAGATGAATGCACAGCAATAGTAATAATAATTTTGCTAACATTTATGTAGCGCTAGATGTTTGTAAGCCCCGTATAAAGCATTCTCTGTGTAT